CGGACCCCTTCGCGAAATTTCGCTTGACGATGAAGTTGCGAGAAGCAACGTCGAGTTTCAAGTTATTAACACCGTAGAGGAGAGGAAGAAGAGGGAGGTGGCGCTCCTCGAAGGCCACTCGAAGGGAAACGCGCGGATTTGTCGCGGCAATCTCACGCAAATTCGAAATTTCGGCTCCCGAAACAACATCGCGCTATATTGCCGAGACGTCTCGATTGCGAGACACTCAAGGCTCTCTCGATGGCCGCAATGGCTCAATGCTAAATTGCGAAAGTTCCAGAAAGTTTAATACCCCGCCGTGTACTCCGTTGGGCCGGCCAACAATAATTCTCGTTATATCTACAGGATGTATCAAAACTCGCGCGTTTTCCCCTAAATTAGACCATTTCTCGACGTCAGTTGACGTACCTGCGATATTAAATTGAATCTCTCACACAAACCATACGATTTAAGTAACAATGTCGGTTTCAATTACACATCCTTGGCAATCTTCAAATCTGCTGTTACAAAATTTTTACGTATGTAAATTCTTGTACATGTGACTAATTATTTTGTATCTTTGTACCTAAGGGATGCAATTTCCATGAATAAGCGAAATAAAATTAAATAAAATGAAATTAATAATGTATATTTATATAAAATTCTGTATAAATCCATATAAATCGAGCCTTGAACTTCACTAGGCACAACAGCGGTGTACTCATTAGACCGTTTTGAATAACAAAGTCCTGTTTTTGCAAATAACTATGAAAACTTGTCAATTATTAATTAAAGAAGTCTCTACACATGGCTATTTTCAATAATCAATAACTCAAAATTTTGCGTGGTTGTTTGCAAAATGGTAGAAGACTTTTTTATTCACATTGACCTAAACCACAAGTATATGACGAATGAGACACTTAAAGACAGATATCCTACATACAATAAAAAGTCAAATATTAAATTAAAATGCCTCTAATGCTCTCTCTCTCTTTCTCTCTCGAAATCAATTGGCAGTTAAAATTTCATCGTCCATTTGCAGTTGCGTAGTTTAATTCGCATTTGTTGATCGTCATCTATAGTAATCGCGATCGGTAATCATTTCGCGAAGAATTAATAAGCTTCAAATCGGAAGCCGGAGAACCTGTACGGAAAATCCATAATCAGCAGAGAAACTGCGCGTCCTCACCGTATATTAACCGTATGCGCGTGTGTATGTATGCGTAAAACATATACTATACAAACGATATAACTCAAGGTAAGCGAACAGGCGAAGTTTCTTAATAAACGTTGATGTCGACACCGCGTGGCAATTCCTTAAGTCGGTAGGGAAGCCCGGTTTTATGAGCTTCGACTAACAGATTACAAATGAACTGCCTCTCTTTAATTAAGTCCTGCGGAAATGATCGTCGATCGGGGCAAAAAATATGTTCCAGCTATAACGAATTCTCTGAATTCTACGTTGCAAATGATTTTAACACCGAGGAAGGAACGAGTGTTGCGCATTTGTCCTCGCCGAGGATTAGCGTGAGAGTCTCCTTGAGACTATTGCTGTGTTAATTTTCCAAATTAAATTATCTTTTTCAATAATTTTGGACGCGTTTGTAGCTAGCCGCAGCCTTTTATCTTCATCTTAAACGTGCGATATGAGATTATGAATAATATCGTGTCATCCGTAGATAACAAAACTATGCTATAGATTAGAATAAAATAGGTTGCACAATAAATTAATAGAATTATAAAAGAAATGAGCTACGCGATGTTGTTGTGAACACTGTTTACAAGTGATTCTTCACGAATATTGAAAAAAAAATTACTTGCCCCCAGAGAGATTTGAACTCTCGACCCCTGGTTTACAAGACCAGTGCTCTAACCCCTGAGCTATGGAGGCTCACGGCAGAGAGTTCTCCCAATACTCTGAACCTAGATATTGAATTAATCATATTTAATGCATGAAAGAAAAATATTATTCTCAATATTTTTCTTTCGTGCATTAAATATGATTAATCCGGTATCCGCAATGTAACCTTATTATGCTCCATTTCAACGAATAAAAGTCCCAATCTGAGAAAATATCAAAAATTCGCGAGTGAGAATAATTAAAACGATAATACGCTCGTTAAATGCGCCAATTATGTACATGTCACCGCTTCTGTTTAATTTATTTGTGAATTTCGAATCTTTTTTATCCTTTGAATCTAATTAATAAAATATAATAATAATCTCTATATAACCGAATAAAGTAGAATATTAACGTTGAAATAAAATAGATAGCCTTAAAATAAAATATTCGCCTCGAAAGAGAACGTTGCGAAGCGCACGAAAGATGCAACAGAGAGAAAATGAGAGACAGCGATAGTGTAAAATTAAAATAAGCCACTTTTTAATTATGAAAACGTCTCGCGCGCTGTTACTCAGTGAAACGCACGTTTTACTTTCGACGTGATAACCAGAAGAATACGCGGTTGTAATCAAAATGTCTCGTGAAAAAGTTTTTCACGGTCATTCGCGATAATGTCGCGAGCGACATGCTCTCTCTCTCTCTCTCTCTCTCTTTTCTTTTTCTCTGTCTCTTCCACCGCTCGTTTTCCGCAGCTGCGAGAGTAAGCAGCGGCGAAAGAAGAGCCAGTGAAAGGACAGCCGGTCATAATGGCAGTTCATGTTGCACGTAAACGAGTCGCCGTACCTTTTGCATATCTTGAGGGACGCATCAGCGGCAACGCGGCGACAAGGAAAGTTCGGCCTCGTCGCATTTCTTCGTCGTAAAATCGCTGCGCATGTCTTAAACTTCGTGGCCCCTTCCTGCGAACTTTAAGGATCGGTCGAGGATAAAGTAAAATTTCACGCTGGCCTCTCGTACGTCGCTTTCGCGCGACGTCGTTGATAAGCGTAGTACGAGCGTATCGACTGCTAAATTGAATTGCTCGCGCGCACAAAATGCCGAGCGACTTCGTCGAGATCTTCGTCGCACAGGGGTTCTAAACGCAAAATACGTAAGAGAAAATTTTTCTTAGGTAAATGAAATAAAATTAATTCCGTAATTCTAGTGACATTTTGTCATTTTTTTGCGAGACTTTGGTCGGCAGAGTCTCTCTCGCGCGCGCGCTTAGGAAAAAAAACTGCGTGCAGTCTAGCAACGTAATTTTTGACGCTGTCGTAACTTTTTACGCGCCAGTACGACCCCCCGGGGGGAGAGTACGCTTTCCTCTCCTCCTGTCTGCGAAAGTTGAGGAAAGGAGAGGAGGAGAAGAGCGCGAAATGGAATATTATTATATATAATAACGCCTAACTAACTTGGCCGTTTCGGAATTAAAAACTTTCCGGTCGGCGGAAATGAAGGCGGGAGGCAAGGAGGAGCTAACGAACTATGATCAACGACTGATTGAGTTTCCGGCTGATTACGAACGGTAAAACGTGTGTCGTTCAACTGGCGTGACACGCGTTTCAAACAATACGCGCCGATCTCGTCGAACAGAAGCGCGTGAAATGTCGACGTCTCTCGGTCTCCCCGAATCGAAATTTTCACCCTGTATTAAACCTTGAATTCTACAACGCAATAGGAGCTCAGATAGCACAAGTTTCCACCAAAAGATTCCTCACGAAATTTGTCCTTGTTGGTTTGAGATACTCTATTTGTATAATCTTATGTGAAGATAAAACTTGCGTACATGAAGAGATTCTATATAGTTCCATTAAAAAAATATTCAAGAATAATTTTCATGAATTGAAAGCGAAAGATATTGAATAGAAAGAACGATATCTTCAAACTAAGAATTGTATCAATTTGAAGATATCGCTCCTTCTATCCCATATTTTTCCCTCTCAATTCATAAAATTTATTCTTTAATAAGAATATGATTTTAGTAGAACTTTATAGAATTTCTTCATGTTTTATCTTCACACAAGACACGTGTTCTTGCTTATATGCTGAGAATATCAAATTTGAATTGAATCTAATTATTCCCCGTATAGAATTAAAGATTCAAGAGAGAAGTTATAAATGTCAGTAGTCATCAGAGTAGATTTTTATCCGTTTAAGTAGACGCGAACTGTCCTTAAGAGCGTCGAAATGACAAACAAAATTTCGACTTGACTCGTCTCTCGGTGGATGTGCGAGCGTTTCAAAGCTGTAAAATGCATTTGCACTGCTCGAGACACGCGGATAAAGGACGAAACGAATGCTCTCGACTGCGGCTCGGCGGGCATTTGTTGTTCGTCGCGTGTTACGAACGCGCGTAGCACGAAGGCACGTAGCGTTCTCGCGTTTAAATAACTCCTTTCGCTTTTGCCATTGTGAAGTGCCACTCCCTTTTGTGCGCCCCTCGTGTCACAACGTTGCAACGCACGCTTGTAAACGTCGTCCGTCACCGTGCCCCCGTCATGACAGAGAGCGATGACGATCCATCATGAACTGTCCGCAGAACATTAATTATATAATTATTACAATTAATTACAGCATAGGGGCATTCACAGTACAGCGTATAGCGCTAGTATTAATTAATGCTATTAGTAAAGCTGTAATTATTAATTATTATAATTAATTCTAGTAACGGTATTTACATTTCGTGATGCACGTAATTGTGATATCGTGGCGTCGTTATAACCGTCGAATAACGCGGTGATATCTCGGATATTTCTCGGTCGAGACCGTCGACCAAACTTCGAAAGTGTCTTCTCTAAACGAGACGGAAAAGTATGATGAAACTGTGCTTCATGATACTCGAGGATCCTCCGTTCTCGTGAAGAGCAGAGAGGACGCGAGAACGTGCAGGGAGAGAGAAATAGTACGGCTCACTTTCGTATCAATTCTTTTCAATTTTATCGCATTTTCCTGTAACGCAGGAGTAGAGTTTATCTTGCTAAGGAGTATGACACATTTTTTCATCGCAGACCTCAATTGCGAAAATATAAATAGCACGGGATATGGAACGGAAGGTTAATAAATTCAGGCAAAATGTTGATACGTTCCTCGCCCAGATAGATCAATGATTATTACAACGTAACACAATCGACGACGGAATGTTTACAATCTTTCTCAATTACATTTACGAAGCAAATATACTGTATTGAATTAATCGTCAAAAAAGTGTGTGTTATACGTTAATGTAAATTCTCCGTTATATTGATGCAGTGGCAAATTTGCCGAAAGTTACATTCCTATTTTCATGTCACATCTCTTCACATGACGTATTGTTTGGAACAAATTTTCATCATTACAACCCTCCCATCCACTCCTGCCTTGACCTCAACCCTCCAATAGTCGTCCACATTTACCTCTATATAAAGGGACATTCACTATTGTTGCCCGAGTAGAAATATAATTAGTCAGCCTCAGTGAAGTTAGCTAGTTCAGAATAGATTGAATTTTCTAGCTTGTTATTGATTCATTATTAACTAATTATTCACATGTTATTCAAATGTATAACTAATTATTTACATGTTATTCAAATAGTAATTATTCGAGTACAGAATCGGTTTTGTGTGATTCAATCGTTGTCTCCTCATTACGTATCAAATATGATGGCACCGTCTATTCTGAAACATATAGTTTAGCTACTGTATATCCGCTACTAGTAGTGAAAAATGAAGTAGCAAATAAAAATTGGTGCATTATTCCATAAAAATCTTCAAAAAGCAGAAGTGAGCATTATATCATTACTTGACAACTAGTTTTTCATCTGACAACCGTATTTTCTCTTGTTTAACCATAAGCTGACTTATTTATCTAGCCATTGCTTAGCCGCCAAAAAGAAGTGAACGTTACATTATTATAGCCAGTAGCGACGTCAGACACAAATTTACCACCTTACGGCCGTGCATTTACGGGGTTCAATTTCTACCAGGAAGGTTACCGCCAAATTCGGACACTCCTGTCTATCCGGGTCGGCTACGAAATTCTATAGTAATTTTCACCGTAAGACCCTCTTCGTGTATTCTTTCTCTATCTCTCTCTCTTTCTTTCTTTCTCTCCTTCTCTCCCGTATTAACGCGACCTCCGCGATTGCTTTCCGGGGAAAGTACCCGCGGCAGTCCCGGAATCCAGGATACCGTCGCCAGGTCCATGGCATCGTTCTCGCACGATCGTTCCGGTCCATCTGGCGAAGGGGCCATTAGCCACGTGCCGATTGTCCATACCCCGGGAGACGGTGAACGTTACCGTCGTTTCTTGCGCGATGAACGCTCGCGATCCCCGACGTGACGGCCGCGCGGCCGCGGCGATTCGACGATCCGCACGACGATTACGGGGCGCAATTTGCTATTTGCACGTCGCGGGTAAATTAGCATCGCGTAACGAGCTCGCGAGCGCGCCGTAATCAAGGACATGACATTACACAAAATGCAAATACGATTTTGTCGTCAATTACCGCAGCGTTGTACGCGAGACTCGGCGGGAAAAATTCATCGTCAGGATATAACGAAGCGTGATAAACATTTCTCTCTCTATTTCTCTCTCTCTCTCTCTCTACAATTGTACGAGCCGGAAATGAGCCTCGCGCGACGATTATAAAACACGTTCGTGCGCGCGAAAGATCGCTCGGCTGTGCGTACTTCCAACGTTTGCGTGAAAGTATGCCGTGAAAAAAAGATCAGCTCGTATAAAAAAATCTCTTGGGATTTAATTGGGGAATCCGATTTCCCAAAATAAATCTGGATTCTAGTTGCGATGTTTTTTTCATCCCTTGTTTACAAAACGTTGTACGTAAAACACGCTCGAAAATTAGTTCGGCGTTTTAATGGGGCGATCATAAAACTGATCTAATACATTACTGGTCACGTATTGATCGTTTAATTTATTTAACCTTCCATTAGAAATAAAATTATATTCATATTACGTCCTTTCTTTTCCTCCTTTCCACCCTCTTTCTCTCTCTCTCTCTCAACCGTTTAGTAATAGAAAGAGCGTTTACATCATACGTGCGACTACGTTTTAGTTTCATTAACCTTTTACCGTAGACTAAATTGTATATTTGAATTTCCTACGTCAGATTGTCGATCGAACTGCCTCGATTTTTATTCAACTTGACTCAATAGCAGTCTGTGTGACGAAATTTACATAACTGAAACTTGGTTTTTTCGTTCCGCTTTTTTTTTTTAATATACTTTTTTTTTTTAATATACTCGTGTACCAAACGTGTCTCGACAAGTAAACGGCTGTCTCTCGCTGTCTCTAACGGAATTTTTATACTTCACTTCGGATTAATCGGGAGTACGTTTGATACGAAAAATTGCAGAACGAGGGAACACCGATGACGACGACGACGACGTGCCTCCCGCGGAGAAATTGAGCTGGAACACGTCGACGGATCCGTCGGCGAAATTTAATCGCGCGAAAATGCGCAACGTCTTACCTCTACGCTACGCACAAATCAGGCCGACGCCGAGGACGAGATGGAATTGCCTGAACTTACTTCGACACACGATGCACGACAGTGCGACGCTCGAGACGTTGATGACTGATCGCTCCCGCCGAATCAGAAGTTTATGTTATCCAACTCGCGCGTGAGCTTCAGACTGATCTCCAGGATGAAGGTGTCGTTGTGCCATTTGGCGGAGGATGCGTTCGGATCCACCGGATGAGGCGTCGGTAGGTGCAGCCGATATCTGGAGAATCGCGCGAGTGGCTTTACGTTGCGCCCCGGCAGATTTACGGCCTCGTAAAATTGTCAAAGAAACTACAGGACGCGCGTCGGAATCGCGTTGATTCCGACGCGGACTCTGCTCTTTTCTCCCCGCTCTCTTTCTATCCTTCCCCTCTCTCTCTCTCTCTCTCTTACAGATTACTCCGATAAATCCGTCGTGTTGGTCGCCTCACCTTGGGCTGCGCACGTCGATCGCCTCGGATTCCACGGAGAGCTCCACTTTTTCCCGCGTCTCCTGCGGCAATTTCACCATCACCGATAGCCACTCGCAAGACGCCGTGCCCGGCGTTTTAAAGCCCATCTAAATAACAATTCCGCCTTTAGGACCGCCCGTCGGGCGATTTACACGTAACAGTGTCGATTGAAAAGAATTGTACGTCGCCGCGCGACCCCGACTCGAAAGAAGGTAAGAATGAGAAGTTTCTTTCGCGTTATACCGCTTTATTAACGCGTTGAATACCACGACGATGACCGGCGCTACGATACACTCAGAGAAAAGACTTGGTGATAGAAGCTAAATCTCGTCAGCCAGCTCGAGCTTTGCCGTCCGAATAATCGGATAACGGCGATAATCGCGAGCGGCGAGGATTATTTGTAAAAACTTTCTTCTCGGGACTTCGCCTCGACTTTCGGCGATAAAGAGGAAAAGGGATACATTACCCCTAAGTAAACATCCTCCGCCGTCACTGCTTGCTTGTATCTCATCTCATACTCGGGTACCGTTCGGGGGTCGTAATCCGGCGCGTTTTCAGCGTCGACCGCTTCCGAGGGATGCCAGATATCGTCATCCGCACCTCGGAGCGGCGCGTGAGGTCCCGAGTAGACTTGGGCAGGTTCGGCCGAGGATACACCGATATTGCCGGGTCCTGAAACGAGGTTTGCGATTATGCACTCGCCATTATCTACATTAATCTCCGAGCTCCCGTCGCTCACTTCGTGGGAAGAGGATGAATTTAACGATATTCCCATTTCGACGTTTTCATATTTGTTCTCTTTTTCAGCTAAAATATTTCCTTATGTAACGATTCTATTAATTAGTATTTTTATAGAATATTTTTCTCCTGTATTATATTATATTACACTCACGAGTACGCGTATATATGTACGTGTATCAGTAAATCTAACAATATTTCATTACAACATTTTCACATCCGTTCTCTCTTAGCTGAAGCGTATTTCACACAACGGTTCTACTATTAATATATTTTTCTAGAACATTCTCTTTTTCATTTATTATATCACACTTACGAATGCGCATGCAATACGTGTATCGATAAATCCTCAAAGGTGTCACGCGCAATCAGACAACGTGCAACATCGCAAATAGCGTCTTGCCGCGGATTAATAATTCCGTCGCTAGTTATAGAATCGTCCCGAAGCTCTCCCGCGAGCTCGTATTATCGTCCGGTGTGATTTACAACGACTGCGTATCTCGTGAATGACGCGTGAGTCATTGTTTGAAGAGCGGCGATCACGATTCTCCGACCTTTAATACGTTTTACAGATGTAACGTGTACGATTGCGCGATGATTTACAGCTCTTACGCGCCAGCGGTTAACGTCTTATTGGAATTATGACAGCTGTGCAATTTACGACGGGTTCCCCCCCTTCGTAATCACCGGTTAAAGTATCACACACGCACGCGTGCTGCATAATGCAACGAGTTTATGAGCGGTGAATGTGAAATTTGCGTAAAACTCGCCGCACAATTAATGCGCGCTGCGCTGCGTTTGATGATTTTCACCCGGGCGACCGTAGCGCGCGCCGCAATTTTAACACGCCGGTGTTTCGCCGAAAATTAATACGACGTCGCGTAAAGCAAACACACCGCGTGTGATTCCGCGCGTCCTCGTCGACGAATATATTTTTGCCCGCCGGGATCATTTGCATACCAATTAATCGAACCGCCCATCGCCACGATCGCCACCAGCCGGACGATGAATGTACGCAAAGGAATCATTTTTTAAGAAATATCTGTACAGAATTGGAAAAAAATGAATATCCGCAGAATTCTTGAAGAATTAATACGCGATCAAATATCTCGATGTATTCCACAAAAGTTGATTGTAACGAATACTTCGCAGCACCGCACTTCGAACACTCGAGGGAATTCGCGTGGAATTACGAATGTTTCGTTTGATACAAATTATTTTCTGTGTATTGTACGTACTCAGCAGTTTTGCAGTTACTTTGTTTTGTGTGTACGGTATCATAATTGGAATTTTTTCCGCAAACAAACGATATCTCGGCGATAATGAACATGAAATAAATGATGATAATGAAAATGAAAATAAAAACGACATTACTGATATCTTATTGAATCGTGGGAATATGACTTTGCTTGACTCGGGTATATTTCTGCAAATCGCTACTTCATAATCTGAAAATGATGACTGCATGTAATAGAATTATTTTTCAATTCCGTATAATTCTCGTGCAATTTTGGATTAATTCCTTCCTTCCATCATGTAGTTCAAGAGCTTAATGTATTTTAATTATTTTAATTATTCCATTGGGGAGAGGATCGTTGCTCACCTAATAGTAATTAACAATAACGTTATATCAATATTATAATTTCCCATTCAACAATATAATTGTTACATACAACATGTGTTATATAACACTTATACTGTTTCGAATAGGAAATTATAATATTGGTATAATGTTAATTTTGTTTGGCATTACTGGGTATTCTGTGTGTGTGTGTGTAGTAGTGTAGTGTGTAGTCCTTTTTCTGTTCTTAAATACTATTCCCCTTGAATTCGTAAATTTTACGATACCATACAATTAACATCAAAATCAGACACATGAATTATTTTATATAACTTGAATTAATTTATATTAATAATTTATTCTTTCTTTTTGCACTTTGCAAAATGTGCTGTATAATATATAATATTTTACATTATTCACACATCGCATGAAAAAATTCTACTAGCAGAATTCATTGGCGTTACACTGACTCAACATTGGCCGATGTTGAACCAATGTAACGCCAATGAAATGTGCTACTAGGAAAGAAATACGTGTGAACATCACGCGTTTACGGAATACGTAAAATATCTGTGTAATATTAAAAATCTGCGGCACAACCTGGATTGTCGCCGCTGCCACCGCCGCCGGCGTTGCCATTCTTCGCCCGATGAAATAACACCCCCGGACAACGAATACATCGAATTAAACGCGACGATACCACGACGGAAATTTACGACATACGACCGGGCGGGAAAGCTCAGTGCGGAATTACGGGGGG